TTGTTGTTGTTGACGGTGTCCGGTGCAGGCAGACGAGTTTACCCATGCACTCCGTTCGGGCATTGTGTGCTGCGTCGATGACCTTGTGCAACCCCGGCGACAATTACACATAGTGCCATTACTTCATTTGGATCTGATGTCCGGACTGTTTAATTACTTCATGTTCCATTCAAAGCTGCCAAAATCGCTGCACCTCATTGCACTCGCATGTCGTCCAGGAGGTAATCTGATCGTCCCCAAATGGGTAAAGTGTACCTCCAGTCAGAAAATGCCACTCTCCGTGGCGCCAATTTTTCCACTCTTTTGTTCTTCGGTCGCTTTGTGCCGCTCTCAGATACTCCTGCAAAAACCGTAGCCATTTCTAGAAAATTCATGAGGACGATCGCACATGCTGTTTGACATAGTCTACTTCTCTTTGCTAGTTAGCATCTATGCTTTTTCACCACCTAACCTCCAGTCGGACAAGGAGACGCAGGTAAATCTCGATCTACATTTCTCTTATATCTCATCTATTTTATCATCCAGTAGAAATGTATTTTTTCCAGCATGATCCCAATATTGGTGATTTTGTGGAGCTGAATCCGGGAGACGAAATACATTTGACATGTTCTGATGTTATGAATGAACGTAAGCGTGCTTGTCAAATTCTTGGTTTGGTAAGCAACCACCTGCGACATAACGCTAAGCTTGTCTGTTTCAGCTATTGAATTTCTGCTACCAAATCTTAACGATAGTCAGGGCCATTCTGAAGAGGATTTTAAATCTCGCTACAGGATTGAAGACCTCTCTTACGGGCACGTTCTTCACCTCTCTGATGTAAAGGTAAGGTTTTGCGTGATCTTCTGCACTTGCATTTTCCATCTTTCTGTATACGGTGGTCATGCACTAGTATAGGTAACAGATCAGAAATAAACTTCATTCTCATTCTTAGATTGTTTGATGAATTTTCGCAGTAGCTAACCTAATATCTTGACGTAGTTGCAACCGTTCTGTTTAATTATCATATAATCCAAGTACTTATACTGATTCTCATGAGCTAATTTCTTGCATAAAAAACTAGTTATCGAAGGTGTGGTACCACCCCTGACTGAACGTTGAAGTTTCCCA